TACAATAGATTTCAATGCAAAAATTTGTCACATAGGACAAGAATGATTAAAGGGTCAATAGAACAAAAGGACAGAGCAATAATAAGTATCTATACACCAAATGAGAGACCTGCAAAACAGATAAAACAAACATTTACAAAACTAAAAAAAAGAAAATAGATAACATCACTATAGTGATGTTGTTGTTGTTGTTGTTGTTTGATGCCGTTGAGTAGTAGACGACTCATAGGACCCTATGAATGAAAGGCCTGAGCATTGTTCGTACATAGAGTTGCTGGAGGCAAGCCATTTCGGAAGTGGATGCCGCTCCTGCTTCCAGGCTTGATTTAGTCGGGAAGCTCCAGCCAACACTGTCCACCATGGGTACCCATTACCACGATTGGCACATCACTGTCACAGTCTTCAGCATCACAGCAACCACGGGTTACCTCACTATAGTGATAGTTGACTTCAATATACCACACTCTAGAAAAGACAGAACTACCAGAAAGCAACTCAACAAAGATGCTGAAGAATTAAACCACACAATAAACAAACTTGATCTTATAGATATTTATAGGCTAATGTGCCCCAAAAAACACAGATTGGCACAGGATAGAGTAGGATTCAGGGCTGTTGTACATAGGGTCGCTATGAGTCACAGGTGACTCAATGGCACATAAAAACAACAGCATATCATGCTCATGGTTTGGAAATCCATCATCAACTGTCCATAACTTATCAGTAGATTTGAGGACATCTTTTCATTGTCTAGGTAGATATGTTCTATACATTTCTACCCTATATTTTTATATCTCAAGCAATGCAAACACGAAAATAGCTATATCTGTCTTAAAACCCAAACTCCTTGTGGTCATTGCACTTTAGAACAATACTGACAGCAGAGTAGCACTATCCTAAAGGTTTCCAATATGAGAAATCTTCAGAGAAGCAGACTGTCACTTTTTTCTGTGGATTCACACGAAGAATTTATCAGTTAATAGCTAATGGCTTAACACTGAACTATCAAGGTTTTATCAAGATGATATTGGAAGAATATATGAGGCCAGAACTCCTTATCAAAAGGCAACATAAGATATATAATATTTCTAAAAGAAAACACTGAAACGTAAAAACTTCTAGGAGAGAATGAAGAGGAACATGTGCACGCAATAGCATATAAAATTTTTTCTTTACTAATTATATAGGGAATTTTGTGGCCTAGTGGGTAAGAAGTTGTACTTGTAATCCAAGGGCAGGCAATTCAAATACATCAGGTGCTCTGCAGAAGGAAAATGGGTAATACTTTTCAAAGTGATTTGCAATCTCTAAAATTCCATGTGAGTGTCAGTTATGAGACTGTTCTGACTCAGAAGCACAAAACAAGAACACACACATAATACACATTCAAACTGTATACGTATGAGACCACAGAAAAGGAGATATTATTTCTCATATCACATGGAGCTTGGCTGAAAGCAGAGAATACCAGAAGAATATTTATATGTGTTTTATTGACTATGCAAAGACATTTGACTGTGTGAATCACAGCAAACTTTGAGTAACATTGATAATAATGAGAATCCAAGAACATTTAATTGTGTTTATGTAAAATCTATTATGGAGACAAAACAAAAAAGGGAGCACTTCACAGTTTAATATTTAGAAAAGTGTTGGGAATATATCCTAAAGAAACCAGAACTGCCACCCGAGCAGATACATGTACACTTCTGCTTATTACTGCTTTGTTCACAATAGCAAAGAGGTGAAAACAACCCAAGTGCTCATCAACAAATGAATAGATAGAGTAGCTGTGGCATATTCACACAATGAGATCCTGTGCAGCAATGAATGAAAACCCAAAATCTCTGTAAATGTTCATTAAAACTAATAAAATTTAATAATAATTAAAAAAACAACAAACCCCAAAGAATTCATGATGAAATATTAATACAGAATGGGTGACCCTGGAGGACATTATGTTGAGTAAAATATCTCAGTCACAAAAGGACAAATACTGCATAATGCCACTGTTATAAAACAGGCCTGACATTGGGTTTAGGGGGAAACTAAGAAAATTGGGGATAAATAATGTACACTGAATTAACACAGATAAGGAAGAGAATTGTTTAAAAGGGATATATGATTAGGTATTATTTGCATGGCAAGAGTCCAGAATAAGAGCTGCATAATAAAGTGTACTGGGCAGGGGGGGATTGTATAACAATTTAAAAAAAAAAGTTTTTTTTCTTTTCAAAGAGAAAAGTGAACTGGGGGAGAGGTGGGCAGGGAGAAAAAAAGTGCAATAATGAATGAATGGGGGGAAATAAAAAAGATGACAAAAAAGAAAATAAAATTGGTATTAAGGCTGTATTCTGTCCATACCTATTCAATTTGTATGCTGGACAAATAATAAAAGAAGCTGGATTGTATGAAGAATAATGGTTGGATGAAGCAAGATTCCAAACTTTTGTCTACAGGGTTGCTTTGCCTTAGGATTGGTGTAAAAATGGCAAATGTATTAAACTAGATTTGAATAAATTATTAAACATGTTAAGGATAATGGTAGCAAATGTCTCACTGTTTCAAAAGGAATATTACAAAAGGCAAGATTATACAGTAGAATGAGTTCTGCTATTTAACTGAAATTTCAAATCTTCATATGATTTACTGTTTTCAAGATCACTAAGAAGAAAATAATAGATGACAGATTATTGGTATATGCAGAAGACTATAAAATAAGATTTTTTGTGTGTGTGATAAAAAGATGAAAGACATGAGAGTGCGGCAGTGCCGAGCAAGTTTAGGGTTCAGACGTTGTTAATTTAAATCTATCACATTTCTGTGTAATTTGTTATGTTGTTGTTGTTGTTGTGTGTACCATAGAGTCAGAACCTACCCATAGTTGACCAACTATGGGTAGGTTCTGACTCTATGGTGCACACAACAAGCATGGGAAGAGATTGAACATCATTCTCCCAAGCTGGCCTCGATCTGCACGCTGTTGCAATGCAGCTATTTGCCACTAGGCCGGTGTAGTTTGTTAAACAGTCAATTAATGAAGTAATATAATTCTTTTTTATTTTCTAGTAATTTATTGGTTAAATTTTAAATTCTTTTTAATTTGAAAATTACTTGTAATTAAAAGCTATTTTGTGGGGTTTTATTCAATTATTCATATACATTCTGTTAGATGACATTAGTTATAATGGATCAGTGTCATTTATTATGACATTTCATCCAATCTTCACAATAGCTTTCCTTTCCCTTTGTTCTACCACAAATTTATTCTCCCCTCTCTCTTCCTTTCTATCCCTGTCAATCCTCTATGATGGTTTCTGTTTGTGTCTATAACTTTCCTTGCTGTTGTTATGTCCCATCAAGTCATCTGTGACTCATACTGACCTTATGTATAATAGCTCTGAACCCTGTCCTATCCTGAGCCAATCTCACTATCTCTGACAAACCTGCCCCTATAACCCTAGTTACTGTATCAATCCACCTCATCCATTGTCTTTCTCTCCTGCACTGTCCCTCTACCCTTTCAAGTATGATGTCCTTTCCAAGGACTGGTCTCTCCTGGCAACATATCTTTCCTTAGAGTTTTTAAAAGTCAATCAGTCACACATATCCTGTTTCACATTGTTAATTGCAGTACACACAACGTGTGATCTGTTTTTCATTTCACAATGAACTTCCATTCACCTATTTCAATGTTTGTAGGGAGGAGTAGTTAGAGTTCAAAATGGCTTTCCTAGTCATTGAATTTAACTTTGCTTTGTGGACCAGCAGGGATATGCTAATAGAGCATGTTAGTTTATGCACAAGAAGAATGACTAGGGTCACTAATCTGTAAAAGGATTAGCTGGTCTCACTAATCCACAAGGTGATTGACTAGTCTCACCATTAAATTGAGTAGATCCAGCAGAAGATTAGGAGAAGCTTAACCACCAGAGAAATAGAAGCCAGCATGCAGTGGGTACCCTTCAGGACCAGAGATGATTGCGTTATGCCAGCTAGAACTATGGTAGCAGCAGCCATGGGCTAAAGGAGAGAAGCAGAGACCCAACAACAGATGGAGCTGGTATGGGACTGCTATCTGCCACAGAACACAGCTAAGAGCCTTTTGCCAAAGTTTTTTGGAGGACTGTGCAGGATTATAAGAGTGATAGCTGTCAGAACTGAGAACTCTGTAACACTAGCCTAAAGTCATGAGACTCAAGGCTGAGGAACCTGCAAGCAAATGTTGGAAGCTGTCCTGACTGTATTTTGCTACTAAACTTTTTAGTTCTCCAATATGTTCCTGTGTGGTCTGTGAGCTATCCCAGCACATTTTAGATCCATTGAAAAAGTGAGTAGTTTTAAACAGAAAGAGGTACAGGTGTTTGGGGGACATGTCTGACCTCACAGGGATTGGTTTTGTTTTGTTAATCCTGCTGACAAGACAGTTCTGTTTTGTGACATTGTTGGTGATGAAGGTCAGATAAGGCTGTCCTCACCTGGTCTTTGCTATTTTTTATTTATTAAGTTTTGAATTCTCAGCAGAAATCCTCGCACTTTTTACAATGTTCACTATCTATCCATTCTTTCCTACTCCCTATTCATTCTTTCCTATTCCCCTGCCACAATCATATGTGTGTTTTTGTAACAGTGGTTTTACACATTAATTGTCCTTTTGTGATAGAGTTATTTCACTGAGCATAAAAGATGCGAGGATATGTGACTAGGTATTTTTGTCATGACAGGAGTCCAGAGCGAAGGCTGCAAAGTGGAGTGGACATGGGGGGAGGGATTGTAAAACAATGAAATAATTTTTGTTTTACTTTTCCAAGGGGGTAGTGTACTGGGGGTGGGGGAGGGCTGGGAAGGGAAAAAAATGCAATGGTGAAAGAATGGAAATCCAAAGTCTCTGTAAGTGTTCATTGAAATTAACAGTAAATTTTAAAAAAAGATGCAAGGATATATTTACAAGTTAAGGAAAAAAATACAATAAATTTCTAAACATTATAAAAAAATCTTACCTGTACAGGTTGGTTCAGGAAACCACCTTCCATTTATACAAGTTGATTGTTTGTATTCAGGTTTGTTTTTACATTTGTAAGTTATATTGCTATTATGAATAAATTTATATTGCTCTGGTTCAATTGACTCAAATATACGTGTTTTTGAAAACTTGCACCTCTCAAGATATTCCGTAGCTGTAAAAGAAAAATATTTCCAAGAAAGGGCTGATTAAATAACATAAGCAGATTATACATAACTATGGCTGCAAGTGGAGGACATAATGAAATGATAATGTATACTTTTCTGTCCTATCAATGAGATTATTCTTGATACTACCTGGGTTTGTCACCATGGGGAGTCAGGTGGAATCATTTATGGAGATCAGGACTAGCGGTGCCATTAAAAGGAATACGTTCAGCAAAAACATGAGCAAGGACTGATTAGAAAGACAGTTTATGGATGCATTTCCTAAACTCATACTGAAATATATATATCTCTTTATCTCTATCTTTATCATCTCTATCTCTTTCTATCTATATCTATATCTATCTATATACATACACACACTGTGAAATATATATGTTACATATGTATTGAAATAAATGCTATATATGTATTAAAATATGTATTTTGAAATATCTGGAGAGAGGATGAGAGACACACATGTGTTGAGGACTCTCCTTCATAGGGGTCGC